GTAAATATCCAACCATAGTTAAAAAAAAAAAAAAATCTGCCACTAAGTTTATACTGACTTATAGCAACCCTCTAGGACAGGGTGGAACTATCCCTGAGTTTCTGAGACTGTAACTGTTTAGGACTAGAAAGCCTCGTTTTTCTCCCATGGAGTGGCTGATTGTTTGAACTGCAGACCATGCAGTTAGCAGCCCAACTTGTAACCACTACACCACCAAGGGTCTTTAGCTCATAGTTGGTAAGGCTTAAAAATGCAATGTTTATTTAAAGCAGTACCTGGCACACAGCACTCCGCAAATGTTATTTAATTGTAATCTTGTGAACCACTGCTTAGGTAAATGAATGATTTTCAATGTAATTGGATATGCTTAAAGTTTGGGAGTGAGGGACTGTGTTTTACAAAATAGAAATGTATTGTTGCTGTGGAATGCCAAGGAGTTGATTCTAACTTAGTGAACTTGTATGACAGAGTATGAATACCCTAGTGGGGTATATGTTGGTCTGCCAACCATTTAAGATCAGCAGTTTAAAACCACTAGTCGTCTCTCGGGCCAAGTTACAGTCTTGGAAACCCACAGGGGCAGTTCTACTCTATCCTATAGGGTCGCTATGAGGTGGAATGAACTTGATGGCTGTTAAGTTTTTGAGTTCATATGACAGAGAAGAACTGCTCCATAGGGTTTCCTAGGCTGTAATTTTTACAGGAATAAATTGACAAGGCTTTTATCCTATGGAACAATGGTGGGTTCAAACTGCTAACATTTATATTAGCAATCAAGTATTTAACCATTGTCCCACCAGGGTTTCTTTAGAAGTTTCCAGTTCCCAATTAAAAAAAAAAAGTTCCTAAGATTAACAGTAAGTAACACTTGTATGCTATTAGGTGGCAACAAAACCATTTTAGATCGCAGTGACCCTATGAACCACCGAACAAAAACAGTGCTGTCCTGTGTAGCCTCAAAATTATTAATGCTTAAGCCCATTGTGTCTGTCCACCTCGTTGACACTTTTCCTCTTTTTTGCTGACCCCCTACTTTCTCAAGCATGATGTTCTTTATTGGAGACTGGTCCCTACTGATAGCATATCCACTGTACATGAGATGAATTCTTGCTATTCTCATACTTATTACATGTCAAATACTAGTCTAAGTACTTCCTTATGGATATTAACGCATTTAATCTATAAAGGGGACCGTTTTACATATGTAGAAAAGGAGGTGCAGAAAGATTAAGATTATAGAGCTGATAAAACAGCAAACCAGGATTCAAATCTATTCTCTTTACCTTTGCTACATTGCCTGCCATCAGATACTGTATCAACAATTATACAAAACTTTAATAGAGAATGTTAAAGAGATCTCAATCAAAAATAATCAACAGTAACTAAAACTTATGTTTCAAAAATAAATTTCCATGCTTATTTAATATTGATAAATATTTTAAAAGCTAGGTAATACAAAGTAAACATGGACTTTGCATTCCACTTACTTGCTTCCACAAAGGCTTTTAAAGCTTCAAGTTGTTCTGTCCCAGATAACTGAATAGCTTTTTCCAGGATCTGACGATATCTGAAATAATACCCAAAAAAACCAATAATGTTCAAAGGGACAATTAATCTTCCAATGTTGACTTTCATGTATACTTATTCATTTATATTTACCCTGGGACGTACCTTGGTAGTATAGTGGTTATGCATTGTACTGTTAGCAGTTCAAAACCACCAGTCACT